CAGGCAGCCTTGCCTATTTGGTAATCTGGTGAGAGACCCTGTCTGAACAAACAAGGTAGACAGCTCCTGAAGAATGATAATACGGTCCTCTGGCCTCTACACAGCCATGTACAAATATGTGCCCCCACCTCTAGGTGCTTTATGTACATATTCTTTCATATTTCAGACCCTTTTTTTTTGTTTTGTTTTGTCTTGTCTTTGAGGGTCTCATGTAGCTCAGGCTGGCCTTGAACTTGCTGCAAAGCTAACGACAGCCAGGAACTCTTGGTCCTCCTACCTCTACTTCTGGAGTGCTGGGAATACAGGCATGCACTACCAGACTTGACAGTATCTCAAGACTTTGGTCTTTCAACACCATGGGACATTTGGACCCACCTTGACCTTTATTCTCCAGACATTCTCAGTAGCCAAAGAAACCCTTGTCTCCTTTCTCACTCAAGAGCTCCCTCACTTCAGACTCTCATTCTAGAGTTCTTGCCCTAACTCGAACGTAGTTCTTGTCATTTGTTCCCTAGCCCCAAAGTAATTCACTAGTGCTCACAACCTGTGTATTTCCCATCCCATCTTCAGATGTACAAAAAAGCAATGACTGTGGTAGTCCTGTAGGAGTCAGGGTTAGTGTTACCGCTCTTGTAGATACTTTTTCTGAATACTTGTTGACCTACACAGAGACTTGGATTTGTAGTTTCATTGATACACTATCTTGGGCACTTTATTGTTAAATTTGCAAGGTAACAAAAGTCCAGTTAATATTATATGTTTATGACATGCTTTCTGAGTTGTAAACTTTACAGCTGAAGCTTCCCAGCACAATCCATTAATGTGTAGACCATTTATAGTTTTGGAGGAACATAAAACGATATCTCAGAAGTTGAAACTATGATTTTGAGAAATAACCATGTTTTTTTTTTTTTTTTAAACAGGAACTCAAATTGTATTCCACAGCAGGGGAACACCAAATTTTTGTTAGTGAGTTGTTTTAAATCAAAATCTAAGCAGCAGGTTAACTTAATTGGCAGGTAGAAAGAACACCATTTCAAAGTATGTTTCTTCAGAATGAGACTATTGTCTTTCTATCTGTTCATACCTAGCTCAGCTAGTTCCTGACACAGTGTCAGATTCCAATAATGTTGATGAATGTTGTTTTAAATAAACAGAGTTCTCTTGGTGAATATGTCTATTGAAGCAAACATTCCTAACTGAACTAAATTATTTATATTAAACTCAGTCTTCTTTCTTCCTTTCAAGTCCTTTTCTTTGTTGCTTATTTATATAGAGTGCAATTAGAGGTTGGCGAACAACTGCTGAGGATGATGGAATATTGGTTGGCTGCCCAGATCAGGAGGAGAGATTCACACCCTGTCTTATTCTTATCACACTATCTTTGGGTAAGGGAGTCAAGAGTCTGCTTGAAGCTTTTGTATTTAGCCTGTCACTTTGTTTATTATTTTTTCTCGAGCCCTTTATGGCTGATAAAAGAAGGCAGAGCCCTGAAGGGAGCTCTTTGAGGCAAGGTCCCTGTTCCATTCATCTCTGTGTCCCTTGTTAACACCCTTCCATCCAGCTAAAGACGGAAGGAAATGACTACCCTCTATTGAATATCTGCTAAATCAGGCGCTTGTGAGCACACAGAACACATGATTCTACTCAATTAATGCAATAATCTCAAGACGTAAATCCCATTTAATTTAGAGTTGAGAAAAACTGAAGAATGCCAGGCTTACGGGGAAAAAATTGCCATAATCACAGGCACAAGCATCACCACCATATGCACAACTGTGGGCACAATGGCCAGTGCCAGTTATCAATTCAGCAACTGTTTGAATGTCCGATCTATCAAAGTTCTCACTCTTCACCCTATGCTGTTGGCTACATCCCCCAACAAATGTGCTTAATTTACGGCAACAATGGTATGAATGAGATCATTTGTTGCAAGTATGTTGGGTTTTATATTTGAGTATGTTTATGTATATATTACATTTGTCTAATTATACTGAAGGCCGCTTTTTTTTTTTTTTCATAGAAAAGGTTTTCATAGTTAATCAAAGAAGATAGGTGGTCACTTGAGTCAAAAGCTCAGAAGATTTTGGTTCACAGGTTCTTTAACTTAAGATGTGACATATTTTAGAGGAATACTTGGGACTGAGGAAGTCAGCTAAGAAAACCAAGAAGGATCTAAAAGGACGTGAAAAGAAAAAAAAATGGAAAGAATCCAAAAAGAACCTTAGTGTAAAGACATAACCTGTGAGAAGAAGTGGGAGAAGTTAGGAACAGAGAGTCTGGGCCTCCTATCCATGAAGGAGTGTGAGAGAACAGCACAGAAAGAAGAGAACACAGAGATGGCAGCTAGGTGAATATTGTCAGTGGGCTTAAGAAAAATGAAACTGATTGAAAAGTGATAAGATGGATGGGGAAGTAGGGCTGGCAAGACACTTCATCAGGTAAAAGCACTTGCCACCGGCCTAAGGGCCCAGAACTCAAACAGAAGTAGAGAACCAACTCTCTCTCCACACATGTGCCATCCAATGCTCCATGGTTTGCACACGCCTGCACACAAAACAAGCTAACATGTAAGAAAAGAAAGGAGACTAACTCGTAAGCCACTGTAAGCCACTGGAGGAAGGATGTGTGCAAGATCTGAGCTATGGATGAGCAAGTGAGGGCTTGCGGAGTTTAGACCTGCACTTACGGACTTTGTTATAATCTCAGCATGAGATCTTGTCAGAAAGGAAAATCTCCCTTTTCCTTAGAGGTAACGGAATTCACCAGGATGAACACAATCATCTCTTGAAACCTTGGGAGACACTTGCAGTCACCTCCATTCTGTCTCTTCTCCTCCTCCTCCTCCTCCTTTTTTCCAGAGGCTGTGACCCTCTTGCCTCAGCCTCCCAAATGCTATCACTCCAGGTGTGCGCCACCATATCCAGCATTTGTGTGCAGGTAAAACAGGGGTTAAAGCAAGCACTGTGAGAGAGAGAGTCCCTGAAGAGAAAATGAGGTCCAAGAAAGGTTTGAAAGAACTTAATGGCCTGTCCGTACTTATATCTACACGCGATGCTTGTTGGCTTTTATTTCCCATGTTCCCTATCAGCCTCACTCCTGTGCTAACGCTTGTTTGTCCTCCTGTCTGCTCCATTACCTTCTCCCTCTCTCTACCCTATGACAAACCTCATCAGTGCTCCTGTGCCTCCAATACTGGGAGTCCTGTTTCTACTGCTCTCTGCTGCCCATCCCAGTCTGTCATGCCTTGAGGGTTCTTTGTGGACACACGTTATCCGTTCTGCTTAGTGCCGTGTCTATGAAGTACAGAGAACGTCTTTTGCTTCCTCTCTTATCCTCCATGATCTCTTATTTCACCAGGAAAAATTACGATCAGATTACTGTAATTCCCCTTTCACAGTATGCAGAACAAACCTAATTGCAATTAAGTAATAGAACTTCAAAGTATAGGGTTTAGAGCTGAGGTTCAGAACACATTATCTTGTGATTTCCCACACGTGTATTTTCTTACTACACAGCCTTCTCTTGCAAAATCTTACACTGTCTGACCTGTGCGAGAAGTGGAAAATGATGTTTACTCTGACACAAAGAACACCCCATACCCAGGCATGTACTTGGTGACTAATTTTTTTTTTCTTTTGGTAGACACCACTTAGGTTGTCACTTGCCTATGCCAAGGCCACCTTCATCGTGTCTGGATGCCCAGTGTGCTGAAATGGGTATCTGGAGATGCTCCTCAAGCATTGGTGAATCATACATAGAGATACCCTGGATTTTACTGAGTGTATTGCACATGAGCGTATTCCTAAAGCAATGTATTGAAGGCCATTGTGTACATGCGTATCTGCAAATTTGTAAAGAATCAAAAAAATTGTGCTCACTGTATTACTCTCGGAGTTTTTGCTCTCCTTCCAGTGGCACCTTTCTGCTCTGCCTAGCTTGCTTGTTTTCCATTTTCAAATTGCTGACTGGGAGTAATTAAAATTAGTACATATATAGAGAATACTTTGTTTAATAACATGGTCACAATAGGAAAGATGATTCCTTAACTGGGATAAGAAGTGGGGGAAGAACATTTGTAAACCCCTGTTCTGTGTGATATTTAGAAAAAAATGCATTATAGTGACAAACATCAATTAAAATTGATTGCCCTGGGCATCTCAGTTGAATACACATCTTGCCAGTAAAGGTTTAATATCATATTATAGTGATGAGGTTTACTTAATTCACAAATATATCTTTAGTTTTTGCCTTTTCCTTCGTAGCAAATGTGCATAGTAATTGTCTCCTTGAAAGAAAAATGTAAAAAAAAATTTGCTGAACTATATTTAGGGTTCCCTCTCCTATCTAATTGACTAATAGAGATGAAGTTAAAGGAAAAGACCCTGTGGTTGTAATTAATATTTTCCTTGCAATAACTTGGCCTTTCGTTTATATATGTTTTGATGATTTTATTTGATGTGTATGTGTGTGCCTGAGTTTATGTATGTACCTGCAGATGCTCAGGGAGGGCAGAGTGGCCATCAGATCTCCTTGGAAGTGGAGCTACAAGTTGCTGTGAACAGCCTAGCCTGGGTAGTTGGTACCAAGCCCAGGTTCTGTAAGAAAAGCAAGTGTTCTTGATCTCTGAACCATCCCTCCAGCCCCAATATATTCTTAACTTTAGTGGTTTGGGCAACGTTTTTTTTTTTTTTTGTTTTTGTTCTTATATCACAATTTTTTTCTACCACAGCAACTAGGATTGATGTGGAAGCTCCCAAATGTTTCACATTCCATTTGACTTCATGAACTACTTCTGAAGAAGGTGAAAACATTGGTGGGAAATGGATCATAGAAGTCCAATGTGATGATACAACTCAGTGGTAGTTGTGTGGGAACTTCGTGGATAGCAGGCACACACACAGCCAACAAATTGGAGCTCACAGTCAACGCAAACACATACGACTGCTTGAGGCAAACGGGCTACATTTATTTTGTACCAAGCCACGCAGAAAATAACTCTAAAGTCGAGTTACTTCCTCTTTTGAGGAACCAAAAAGGCAGTAGATGTAGTTGAAAAGAGAGAGGCAGATGGTGGCTAAGCTCTCGATGGGTCCGGTGAAGGCACGGTCTCTCTGGGCTGTGATTTGCGGTTCCTCTGGAAGGATGGGTGGTCTAGACAGAAGCCACTGGATGAATTCCTCTAGCTTGGTGGCACTGAGGAAAAATCTCCAATTTCCCCCATGCACAAAAGTGAGCTTGATCCATGTACTGAAGTCAGGGTAAATATAGATACTTGGCCTTGCCTCTTTAAAGTTCACTGATGCGTTTCGGAGGCTATCAGTTTTCTTCAGCGTTATAATTTGAGGAGACACTGTTCTTTTCTTCAGCTGACAAGTGAGCTCCGGGTAACTGGGCACCCTCTCTGGTTCTGCTGAAGAGAGGACGGTGTCTGTAGGGGTGGCTGTGCCCTTCGGGCTCTCAGGTTGTAGGAGCTTCTGGAGCAGTTGTACAATTTCTTTACCCTTTTGTCCCTCCAGAACCTCTAGACAGTGTATGCTGGAGACAGAGTTCTGGCTTTCTAGCTCCGTCACCTTCTTCTTCAGATTGTTGATGTCTTCTTTCATAGAGAGGATTTCTTCAGTGACTGCAGTTTGTCTGTCTTCGCTAATGTTTATTTTGGTTTCTAGGACTTCCATGTGCTTCTGGTAATGGTTGATCTTTTCTTGGGTATTTGATACTGCACTGACAACATTAGTCATTTGGTTGAGGAGTTCTGTTTGTCCCGTTTTAATGTCTTGGAGCATTGCTGCTACATTCATTTCTTCATTCAAATTGAGATCACCTTGGTCACAATCATAAGAAGGCGCTGTTGGGTAGCTTGTTGAATATGAGTGCTGGATCTTACATTTCTGGTAAGCGCTTTTAAGAGATCGTCTGATCTTGTGAAGATTTGAAGTCCACACATGCCCCGCAGCAGCTTTTACTCTTTTGGTGTGAAATCTGTACATTTTTTTTTTTCTCACTGAGATGTAAGACCCAAAGTGCTGGGAAGCATGACAGGAATCCTGGAAGAAGCGATTTATGTGCGATATGGCGTTTCTCTTCCTATTTGCTGGAGTTCTTTGCTGCTTACATCATTGAGTACCAGACTGAGAATATCGAAGGCACAACAGGCAGGGTTAAGTGGCTTGCCTCTTCCAAGCAGCCTAACTTCAGAGCTTGGTGAATTAACAGCTCACTGCATATAATCTTTCCTGTGGTCCTCATCTGATAGTGATGTCACAATGGCCACTAGCTTAGAACACAGACCACTGTAGCATGGCAGGTATCAACATTTTTGTCACAGGATGGATTCTCTTTTTCTCTTGTAAAAATGATTGAGGAAGCCAGGGTGCACCCCTTTAATCCTAGCACTCAGGGATGTAGAGGCAGTGGATCACTGTGAATTCAAGGCCAGCCTGGTCTGCAAAATAAAAGACCAGGACAGCCAAGGCTACACAGAGAAACCCTATCTTGAAAAACAAAAACAAAAACAAAACAAAATAAGCCAAACAAAACAGACTGAGGAACACAGAGCTTTTGTTTGTGTGGATTATACTTATTTGAATCTTATATTATAAATTAACAAAGCAAGTCTTAATATCTTCCTTAGTTTAAATAAAACTCATCACATGTGGCACAATATGTTTTATTTTGTGGAAAATAATTTTTTTCTTTTTAAGTTAGAGTCTTGTTTGTCCCAGTTTGTTCCAAAACTATGCAGCTGAGGATAACTTAGACTTCTGATCTGCCTGCCACCACCTAAGACTGATCACACTGGTAACATCTAGTTTGTGTGGTACTGGAAATCAAACTCAGCGCTTTGAGAACTCAAGACAAACATCCTACGTCCATAACCCTAATTCTACCTGCTACAGAAAAAAATATAAAAGAAGGGCATATTGCATTACATACATGTAAATAAATGTTTTAAACACCTGGATTAGGATAGGCATGGTAACATACACTCAGGAGGCAGAGGCAGGAAGGATCTCTGTGAGCTTGTGGCAAGCCTAGAATGTATGTATCAAGTTCCAGGACAGCCAGGACTAAACAAACAACCCCCCACCCACAAAAGCTGGTAACCAGTATGGGGAAAGTAGTTAATTAAATTATGCATGTCTTCTAAATATTGACCCATTTTATTGTGCAGTATCAAAATGTCACAGGGCTGGGTAGAGGACTTGGTAGATAAGAATGCTTTCTGTGAAAGCACTGATTCCCTAGCACCCATGTAAAAAAGCCAGGCATGGCAATGTCATGACTCCAGGCTAGGGGAATGGTGGATCCTTGAGAGCCTGATAGTCAGCCACTGTAGCCCAAACAGGGAACATCCAGAGCAGTGGGATACCCTGTCTCAAGAGCATGAGGCAGAGAGTTATAGAGAATAGAAGAGACACCCAGTATCTTCCTCCTGCCTCTGCCTGTGTAAACGTATCTCTGTCTCTCTTGCACACACACACACACACACACACACACACCCCAAATGGATACTCATTACTTTCATTCATGTCACCTCCAGCTTCACTAGAAAAGCCCTTTAGGATTGTGAAACATGGCAAATTCAAATCTTCCAAGATTCAAATTTTAGCTTAAAAGCTTGAAAGTTATCAAGTTTGCCTTTTTTTATTTCAAGCACCAGGTTTCTCCTAGTCCTTTTTAGTAAAAAAAAATTACCAGATGTCCCAACTATGGATGTCATAATTTGTTGCCAGTTATATGTGTAAATATAAATGCATTTCCTGAGAAAAGGGGCTAGTTCAGTCTGTAACTCAAAATTTCCTCTCCACAACCACCGGACTTTGGAAAGCAGCAGAATGCTTTATCTGTGCTCTCGAATCATGCATGATATAAATAATTGTTGAGATTTAATAAGATTTTTTTTCTGCTTCATCAAGAACATTTTTTGAGTGAAGTTTTTTTTTTCTTACTTTTTTTTTTCTCTTTACTTGGGTGGTGGTACAGAATACATTCATTATTGGTCCTTTATGATTTTACAGCCTTGGTATGACCTGAGGGACAACTCGATTAATCCACTACCATATGTGCAAATCCATTTTCAAAATGCAACTCACAAAGGCAAGGAAGTGGTGCCTTCAGTTTGATTTTAAAATATCTCTGCTCTCAAGGTTCACCATCTGCCACACTTTGAGAACTATGGCCTCCAAGGGTAAAAGAGGTCTTGGAAATCTAAATCTTTCAGAATACTAAATGATATTTTGTCAATCTGATACATTGAGGTAAAATTTTAATCTTCGAACATATAAGCTTGAACATTTTTGAATCAAAATGACATGCTACTGGATGCCTACATGTCTCTCATGCAGCAATCCTTTTCTATTTAAAAACTTAATTAGTTATTAAAAAATTAATGTCACTTACAATCTGCGACTAAGTCACTATTTCTATTTGTGCCAAATATCAGGGTCAGTCTTGGCATAGGTTTTGGCATAAACTCTGAACTTAGCCAAAAGTGATTTAGAAATTTTGGCTCACTGGCAGTATTGAGGATTTTGATTCACTCTCTGTCTCTGAATTGCTGCTTGGCTAGTTTTGAAGTGGCTACTGGCTCCCTTTTCAAACCCTTGCTGGGAGAAGAAAATATTCTCCAGGAAACAGGCTACGATGGGGATGGAGATTGAAGCCAAAGAGATTAGGTTCAGAATGGTCCTATTTACTTTGGCAAAGGCCATTCTATCCAGGGGCTTCTGTGGGAACAGTGCTCAGTACCTGTGACGATTTCTAGGGCCAGTACAAACAGCTGAGAGCAGAGAGGAAAACGAACAAGTTGCGGGCTCGGAATACTAAATGAAAGCTGTAAGACTGAAACAAATGTTTAATTAGATATATCTGAATTGTAATATATCATTAATTGTTAAATTTATTTTATTTTATTTTTTTGTCTTGCTTTATTTATTTACTTTAGAGACAAGGTCTCATGCAGCACTGACTCTCCCTAAACTGGCTGAGAACTCCTGACTCTACTGCTTCCATTCTGCTAGTACATTACAGGCATTCACCATCAGGCCCAGCTCTTGGCCTGGATTTCTTTTTTTTAATTTTTAAAAATTTACTCACTTTATATCTTGTTCACTGCTCCCTGTCTTGTCTACTCCTGGTCCCACCATCCCTCCCTCTTCCCCTCTAGCCTCCTTCCTCTAGTACTCAGAAAGAGGAGTCCTTCTCCTCTAACAACTGACTCCAGCCTATCAAGTCTCTTCAGGACTGCTCGAATCCTCTTCCTCAGTTGCTGGCCAAGGCCACCCCTCTTGGGAGAAGTGATTGAGGAACATGCCCCAGAGTCTATGTCAGAGACAGCCCCTGGTCTCCTTACTAGGGTACCTACATGGAGACTGAGCTGCCTATGGGCTACATCTCAGCAGGAGGCCTTTTTGAATGGGCAACACAAAGGCTATTAATTATCGAATTTAATATCATTAGCACTGTATACATTTGGAGGAGGAGGTTCAAAGATAATCAGGAATTTTCAACTTAGAGTTATTGCTTGTAGCAACTACTCCTTCCAGCCTAATAACAACCAGGTCTCACTTGGTGTCTCCCAGACACAGCATATGGGTTACTTGTTTATGTCACAAAATACCTCATAAAAGAGACTTAAAGTGGGGTTATTTTGGCTCAGAGTTTGAGGGTCCCATCAATCACCATGGCCACAGAAGCATGAGGCAGTTGGTCTCATTGCATCAGCACTCAGAAAGCAGAGCAATATAAACATGTTGCTTAGCTTAACACGATCCTTAGCTTGCTTTCTGCTTTTTATTTGATACAGAGCTGCAGCCGGATGGATGGTCCAGCTCACATTTAAGGTGGCCCTTTCCACCTTTATCATCCAATCTAGAAACTTCCAGACATGCCTAAAGGCTGTGCCCTAGGGGACTCTAGATCCTGTCAAGTTGACGATATCATAGGGTTACAAATATTACCTATTTATGTGAAGTTCAGAGAAGTTAGGATACTTCTCAAAGGTGATATAAAACAAAACAACAAAAAAAAGGGAAGTCAGAGGCTTCACATCTTTGTATCTTGATGCTAGAGGTCAGGTGTTTGATCTCTATTGCCATGTGTCATGATAAAAATGTACACATTTGTCTCAACTCATGAGAAGATAGGCATTTTTTTTTGTTTAAATTACCCTGTAAACAATACTCCTTTTTAATTAAAATTTTATTTACTTAGCAATATGGGAACAACAACATTTTATCTAGATACGTTATTTACCAAGAATGTTTGATGCAGAAATTTGTAAAGATTTTAGAAGCTGGATTAGTTCTAACTTCTAAGTAAAAATGAGCAGAACCCAGGAAAGGTAACCAATCTTTAACAAAAAAATATTATGGGTTCTGCTTCATTTTTTTGAGACATTATCTACATGGTTCCATACAAGCATGCTTAGTTATAGTTGACACATATTAGTGTTGCTGAAGGGAGCAGATATGGGGCTTGACAGTTACGGAGAGGTCATCCTGGGAGGTCCTTACTATGCTGATTTGGTGAAGTAGGAGCAATCAACAGGTTAGAGGAAAATGGAAAGGGAACCTTCCTCTCTCAGGGTTCCTCCAAGGAAACACAGGCAGTTCAGAATAAAGTAGCATGAGCCTGGTGGGAAGCCTTCTGACCCAGAATCCTTGACAGTTTTTCCAGGACTGGTGTTTGGAGCCAGTATAGCTGGGATTTAAGGCCATCCTTTTGCTCACTATGGTCAGGCAAGTAACTGCCTTCCTCCGTAAGTGTGTAAAGGGGATAATTAATCACACCTATTTTATAGATTTGGAAATTCGAGTGTTCAATGGAAGGGTAACCTTTTTCCCTCCTCTCTTTAGCATCTTACTTTCCTTCTTCCAAATGGAAGAGGAAAATGGTGAAGAGTTTGGTTCTGGTAACTCCATTCATTTCTAGTTTTCTCCTTCATTCTCTCCTTCAGTATGACCATGATAGGTGGTTGTTCTCTCAT